ATATATATATATATATATATGTCTAAATTATTTTATGTGCACTTCGACTAATCCTCTTTTCGTTCTTCTCAAAGATAGATTATCCACCCCAAATCTAAAATACTTATAAAGAATAAAATCTCTCATAACCTAGGCCCAAAAAAATTGTCAAAATTAAAATTCAGAACGTCTAAATGTATAATTTGTCATTAATAACATTTGACCTACCTTATGGTTGGAGAATCAACCCAAACCCATGTAACAGAGACCATAGTGGAAGAGCAATAGTGGCTCATAAAATGATAATGAAATTTGACTAGTGGTACATCCACCGCCACTAAAGCTAAGGCCACAACACATCTCAAGATTGCCAAGTTCTTACATACATCATGGCTTTTCAACATTTTTCCTATCTTGAATATGAATGAAAAAAAAATCAGAATCTTTGTCAATTTAAGGGATTACTATTTCGGACAAATAGGATCAAATTTAGAAGAGATTCATATATATAATTCAAGTCATTAACGCGCCCAATCACAAAGAAGGTGGGATATGCCACACCCCCACCCCGGATCACATAGGGTGGGTGGCGGACCGGCCACCAAGGCCTTAACCAACTAACCCTGTGCATAATAAATGTAAAATACAGCGGAAGACAAATAATAAAGTGATCCATTTCACCGACCTAATGAATACCAGAAGAATAAACTAAACATCACCAACATCATTATTAAACTCCATAAAGTTCACTACTCTAAAGTCTAAACATGAACAACATTTATCCCAAAAATAATTAAATATTTGTCTCAAAATCATAAAAGACATTTATTCCTGAAGACCTACAATAAAATAAATCTTCAATCCTTCTAATCCTTTGTCTATCCGGGGACTTACTCCTCCCCTTGATCCTCACTTGAAAAATGTTAAATGCTTAGGTGAGTTGTAAGACTTAAATGTGGCCCACATGATTTTTGACACATGTGATATATACTGATTAGTGATGTGGTTAGGTCAAGATAATGATAAAGTTCTCAATCCTAAACTAACCAGGTAACTGATGGTTTCTGATTGGTCAAAGAGAAGTAATAGTTTCCTAATATCCTACTTTGATGGGAAGTGGAGTTCATGTTGATCTAGAAAATCGGTCCTCTCTCTACCTATAAATGTGCACTTACCCCATTGATTTGTGTATCCTAAGGTTAAAAGGTTAGGAGAGAGAAACTGTGTTTTCAGACTACACTAAATATTGTTATTCATGTTCAAGAATCACAAAGGTTTACATCAATGACTTTAGGTATGTAACTTATGATGTTTTTAATTCCGTAATATGAATATTTGAAAATCATGATTGTTTTAGGTCTTGGAATTAGGGTTTGATCAATTTATTTTATCAAATAAAGTTTGCATATGGTATCAGAGCAAGAGAAAGGACTTTCGTGATTTTCCATTAAAAAAATATGTATACTGGTCTGAATTACAATTTTTTGTTTGTTTGATAGAAATTTGTACTGACTATGTTAATATTATTTTAAAAGTTGGGTGTCAAATGCTTTGAGTAAATATGTATAGAATCTGTATCAGGGCAATTCATTTTTAGCTTCAAAATTTTTACGGAAGCTGTACCGAA